AAAAAAGTCTAAAAGGAGAGTGATTAGTAAAATATGCATAAATAAAAAGAAAGCATGCTAACTAGGTAACATAAGATAAGAATAAACAAGTTTAAATAATTTGTTATTGGTTTTGATCATATTCTAAAGATGTTTGGATTATTGAAAAGTATACAGCTCCCTTTCAGTGTGTTGAGAGCTGTATCCATAAATTCATTTTTTGCTCAAAGTGCACCAGATTGAGGCATTTCACTTCAACATTAAAAAAAAAAAATCTTCCCGGCGGTGCATGCCCCCGGACCCCACTAGAGGAGGTGAGGTCCACCCCCAAATAAAGCAGGTTAAAATAATTAAATTGCATACATTTTCTTTTAGTAAACATTGAAAACGGGTCCCACAGACCCAAACAGCACACAAAGGTTATACAAAGCAAAGCATACAAAGCATATAATAATGTTCAAATGTGCTAAATATATACAGTGCAAAAAAACAAAAAAAGAGGAGTAAAAGTAGCTCACGACTTGTTTCATTTTTTGAAAGTAGCTCTCATCCTAAAAAAGGTTGGAGACCCCTGTTATAGAACGATACATTTGACAATTTTAAGCTTTGCCTACCATTTTATTGGAGCGATGAGGAACAGGTGGGGCTTGAAAAGGCCCACCTGTTCAAAGTGGGGAATGACAGAAAAAGTTTGAGAACCACTGGTTTAATGTCATTCATTTTGTAATTGCCTTGCATTGCCTTACACCTGTGATTGACAGGCCATGACTCCAACTTCATGCAGATAATGTTTCAATTTTCATTGAATCACCGAAAAACTACTGTATAATCTATACATTTTCCAGGAGCAACAAAAAAGACATTTTGAGATGAAACGGGTATAACATTCTGACAGTTGAGGATGTTTTGAAACTAAAGAGAAAGCAAAGTTACAAAGTGGCTAAAGTCCACAGTGTGACCCTCCACCCTCTCTCCTCGGTTCCTGTCTGATGGGCTCAGGTGAAACAGCACAGCAAACTCCACAGACATGAACCGACACACCTGCTGAGCCCGTCTGTAAGCATCTCTTTCTAAGTTTCTAACCTTTGTCAGAACGATGCCTCCGTCTGTAATGACAAGCAACCTTTATTCAGGAGTACACAAAAGACAGGGGAGAGTTATAAAGGAGCAGCATGTGTGTGTCTGTAATGGGCCGAGAGATGAACTCTAAGAACAGGAGGAAGAGAATGAAACACAGTGATGGAGAGGAAGAGAGAAACAGACAGGGATGGGGCTCCAGATAGATAACAACGGGGGAGTAGACAGTAGGATAAACAACAGGAAGAAAGAAAACCATGTTGTATGGAAGCAGAAATACTCAATTGTAATATCTTCACAGCTCTTATGAGAGGCAGCCACATAACACCGTGTAATCAAAACATTTTCAGACTGACCTTTAACTTGACATTTCTGACAAGCATCAGAGCGCCACTTATGAAGTTCTGTAAAAATATTCGATAATAAAAGTTGGCTCTAACGAAAAACAATAACACTGGTCGGGAAGGTTTGTATGATTTCCTTTTTTTCTCCTTTCCTTTTATTTTGTTGCGTTTACAATCACAACCAGTTTTCCCCATAAATATAAAGTTAAGGCTTTACTTTTTCTCGAGGCTGACCTGGTCCAGAACCGAGCTGGGAATTTAGCGTAGAACTGGAGTTTGAAAACCTGTTAAAACCTAAAAACAACTTTACATTGTTAAAGATTAGCCTGAGAAGAAACCTGTGGGAGAAAGAGGGAAAAGTCACTGCTTGGTCAGGAATATGAATGACCAGCTTAAGAAGTCAAAATAATACACAAACACATGATATACAACACATTGTGGGGGTTAAAAACTTCACTTTTAAATGTTAAAACATGAACTCAACTTTTTCTCTTATAACTTTACAATGTGCAAATTAATCTGAGGAACCAGGCTTTGCACATTTAACACTTTGCAGCCGCTATATATTTGCAGTGCTTCATAATATGCATATTTACTCAGTCTGAATATATGAGACACCTAATTACCATTCAAGGTATGCTTCGTCCTTTGGAGACCTTCATTCTTTATGAAGTTACTTTTTAAATGCAGAGACAAAATGAGTTGCTGACAAAATGTGTGTATCTCTCATGACTGTCTGCAGTGTGTAAGGAGGCCAAGGCGGACCTGGCCTTCCTGGTGGACGGGTCCTGGTCCATCGGAGACGACAACTTCATGAAGATCACACGCTTCCTCTACAGCACCATGGGATCGCTGGATCTGATTGGACCAGACGGCACCCAGGTCAGTCATGTGACCACACCCACAACTCATTTTTACCTTTAGAGAGGTAAAAAGATTTTTTAAAGAGAGATTTTAATCTCAATGAGTCTTTTACCTGTTTAAATAAAGGATATTTAATGTTACATCGAGTCTCAGAGGAGTGCTAGTATTCACATTTGTTATTTCTTTTAGTGGTTTTCTTGTCTAGTCTAAAAGTCTGTGTCTGGTGAAAATGACTACAAATGTGCTGAAGGCTTTTAATTTCTGTTTGCTGTGTAATTGTTTCCTATTGTTGTATAACTTTCCTTCTGAATTCAGTATGCTTGTGGCAAATGGAATGTAAATCAGATGTTGTTGATGTAGACGAAAGTAACCACACTGAAACCGAAAACATTATGAAATAGAGAAAATTACATATTGTAGTCTGTGGGTAAAGAGCCCATTCATAAAAGAGAGAATGTTGTGAAAAAATATGTATTTAATCATTTTAACATCTACTTTTTGTTAGATCAATCCCGAAAAAACTAATATTACAAACCACTGCATCATTTGTGATATTTTGCAAGCTCAGCACAGTGTGTAAGATATAATAAGATTCACATACTGTATATTCAAAAACCCGTTGCCCCTAACTCTGTTACTGCCAACTACTCCTTCTTCTGTCCCCCATCTTTCATATGCTGCAACCCATTTTACATTAAAGTACTTAATTTTCCTTTCAAATCTTAAACGGGCTTTTATGCAGTAGTTAATAGATACATTATACTGCATGTCCGTAATGGAAGGATGGAGAGTGATTTTATGTCATGGCTGAGATTCTCTTTCTGTAACAGGTGAGCCATTTCTTTCATCTTTGTTGACAGAATAACAAATTACGCTTTTCCCTAAATAACGAATCTTGAACAACCTAACTTTACATTTCAACTCATGTTGGTTAGGCTCATGTATTGTTTAAGAAGGCTTAATTGTTTAAGAAGGCTTAATTGATTCCGGAGGATGCTTCGGAGCAGAGTTTCACCTCATTTTCTTTGGCAGTCCCTTGACAAATCAGCCTGACCACAGCCTTGTTTCTTTAGAAAAGTTTACAAAAGAGAGGGGGAACTTTAAACCCCTAGTCGATCAATATTTATTTTCTGGAGAGATTTTCGTTTTAGTTCAGTGCACTGTTCGATTAACTCTGCTCATTTGCTGGCATTGTGGTTGGTGCCAGAATACATTACTTTACTGGCAAGAATCGTAATAAGTCTAGATGCATTAAAAGCTGGAATAAAGTTATGATGGTTCAAACATGACCTAATGCACCATCAACTTGATTCTCCATATAAAATCCACTATGAGCAACACTTTGAATCACATCCCTACGAGCAATATTCCCATCTCCTGTATCAGGTTCATCAGTAATGCCCGCGTGTAACGGCGATTCTCTAGTGTCATTGGGAACTAATTTCTTTGTGCTTCTTGTCTGCATGGCCCGCACTATTTCAGCAGAGCTCAGCCGGTTCATTTGTCACAATGTAGAGGTGCTGGCTAAACCCTTTTCTTTCATTTGTGTAATGTCTGCTGTTACGCAATTTGCCTCCCTCGGTGTGCCCCCCTCTGGCAGGGGGCGACTGAGAGCAAACCACTGGCTGTAATGTGAGAGAGTTGGCTGTACAGTAAAGGAGAGTTGGCGGGTAAGTGTAGGCCGCCATGAGCCAACAACAGCACCATTAGCACTCTGGAGGTAATGATAGTTGTTCTCCCCTCTTAGAATCAGCCAATTAGAGTGATTACAGCTCTGATTTAGGAGTTGGATTTATATTCAGTGAGGTTTTCTCTAGAGTCTTGCATAAAATAAGGCGTTAGTACTCCAGTTAGAAATCATGGTATTTTACTTCACCCAGCACTGACCAGGTTAAAAATAAGGGGAAATCTGTGACCCGTTGCTGCTCTAATCGATTAAACCTTGAAATTGATCCATGAAAATGTCCTTTTCAAACCTTTGTTTTGCAGAAATTAAAAGTGAAAATGAGGTAAGTATTCAGGTTTTGGACCCAAAATGCAGACATTTGTACGGAGCCCGTAAAGGGACATGAAAAAAAAAAAAAAGAGAGAAAAAAAAAAAGTCGGGATAACGGGTTAGTTTCTTGTGCGCAAGAGAAACTTTTTTTTTTAGAAAGTTACCGGTGCGCCAAGGAAGAAGTGGAGCACACAGGAGACAACCATTTAATTGCAGGCTGTTATGTTTACGTGGGGAAATGACATAGATATATTTTTGTTAAAACGTAGCAGCCTGCGGTCACTCCAGGAGGCAGCGGGACGTGTAACTCAGAGAAGAGCAGCACCAGCGCTCAAAGAGCTTTTACGCACCGCCTACACTGTGTTTACCTTCACTCTAACAGCTAAAGAGTGACTGCAGACTGCTACGTTTTAACCTCTTTTTTTTGTTTTGTTCCATGTCCCTTTTGGGGCTCCGTACATTTGGCATCATTGTGCTCACATAATGTCAATTGAACAAGACCAAATCTGCACAGATGCACACGTATGCCATGGTATTTGATGAGCAGATGAAGACTAGATTTGCCTTTTCGTTTGAACTACCGGTATTCCTTTATACCAAATACACAACGAAACAAGTTGGTTAAGTTGGTTTAATTACATTTTGACATAATAGTTGAACTGATTTCACTTATCTGTGTGTCTGTCTGCAGGTCGCCATCGCTCAGTTCAGCGACGATGCACGGACAGAATTCCAGCTGAGTTCCCATGGCAACAAGGAAGCGCTGTTGGAAGCTATTCAAAGCATCAGATACAAGGGAGGAAACACAAAGACAGGTAAGAGCCGTGTGTCATTGGATTGAGGTAATCTTAGCTCAGGCAATACAACAAGACCGGCATATTCAAATCTCAGTTTAATACCTTTATTTAAAAGACTCTTCAACATGGTGACCAATAAGGTCATTTGCTAGCTATTGTGGAGTTTTCAATTGTATCGCACACTTTCCCTCAGCAGATAGAGTTGCCTAATTTGTCATTGAGTTGCTGATGTTCAGTCACTCAACCTGTGGTATGACGAAATGTATCTCACATGCCTCTACAGTAAATGAAGATCAAGAATGAAAGTACAGATGTACCGCGTTGAACAACAGCAACAGTATATAAAATCATCTGTTTGCAAGCTCTCACACAGTGCATGTAGTATAATCTACAATTTATGTGTCCTGTAGTTTGCGAACTACTTCCCAAAAACATATACGTTTTTGGCTTAAACCTTATAAAACAACCGTGCTTAATCATCTATGAGTGTATTAAATAAATAGTAAAGTTTAAGTGAAAACACATGTGCAAAATACAGCTGGATAAATTAGAAAAAATGTTCTGAAAGTTTTCTTCAATACTACAACGTTTTCCTTTAAGGACCTTTTGTCGTTGTTGGCTTGAGATTAAAAGTTCATTCATAACTTTGGAAGCAGCAGCAGTTGTGAAAAACAATCCCAGCACAAGTTGAGAAAGCTGCATGTCTGCAGCGTTCCTTCGTTATTCCAACATTTCATGACCACAAACTCCTGTTGAGAACGACTGTGTGTTTAACAGAAGCTCCAGAACAGCTACTAGCTTTGTCTGAGATTGTTTGTCTGCTATTTTCAAGATCAACAATGAGCTTCAAATATTTTTTCCAACAGAAGAAATCTTTACAGGCAAACTTAAAACAATGTTGTGTTTGGATTGTCTACATGAAGATCAGATACTGCAGAGAGGGAAGACTTT